AGTCTAAAAAACTCCCCCCAAAAATAGCTAAGAAACACCTTATCCAGATCTGATACTATAGACTCTAGTATTCCATTCAAGCAAACCACCTCCCTGATAAAATCTGATGCCACTATCACGGTGGTGTAGGGATGTCATAAGGGAATGAAATGAGCATACTTTCTTAATCTATCCACTACCACCAAGATCACTGTGAACCCTTATGATCTGGGTAGTCAATCTATGAAGTTCATGGATACCTCCTCCCACACCCACCATGGTAAAGCTAAAGGCTGTAGTAATCCTCCTGGGGACATGGTCATGTACTTGTTTCTTTGATAAATCTCACATTTGACTATCATCTCCTCCACATCCTTGTGCATCCCCTTCCAATACAACTCTGAGGCAATTCTCTTGTACGTCTCCAATACAGCGATCTCATGGAATTCATGGAGTATGTGTGGAATGTGGACTGATGTCCTAGGCATCACAAACCTCCACTGATACAACAACCTCTCCCCTTCTAGAGAATACCCTGGGTGGTTATCCCCCTCCTTCAATAGATCTGCCATAATCCTCCCCAACTCCTCATCCCGAGCACTTTCCTCCTTAATGGCCTCCCAATCTATCATTAATAGGACCGACCCTACTATCGCCTGCAACTCCCCCATGCATCTAGACAATGCATCTGCCACCTTGTTCTCCATCCTGACCTATACTGTATTTCAAAATCATACCCCAGCAACTTAGACAACCATCTCTGATGCTCTTCAGTCACCATCCTCTGCTCCAACATGTACTTCAGACTCCGCTGATCTGTTCTGGCGATGAAATGCCTATCTAACAAGTAGAGTCACTATTTCTGGATGGCTAACACGATGGTCATCAACTCCCTCTCATAAACTAATTTCAACCTGGCCCTAGCTGTCAATATTTGCTGAAATACGCAATGGGTCGACGACTCTGTATAAGTATTGTTCCTAGTTCATATCCTAAGGCATTTGTAACCACTATGAAGACTTGCGTGAAGTCTAGTAGGGCCAAAACCGATACAGTGGTCATGGCCTTCTTCGAGCTCTCAAAAGCTATTGTGGTCGTCCCTCCCCATAAGAATCCATCCTTTAACTGCTCTGTCAGGGGCCATGCGATGGTGTTGTACCCCTTCACAAACCTCCTATAGTATCATGTCAATCCCAAGAATCCCCTCAACTCTTTAAGATTTTTGGGCATTGGTTATCTCAACATAGCCTCAATTTTAGCATGATCTACTGCCACCCCCTCCTGAGAGATAATATGCCCCAAGTACTACACATTGGCTTGGGAAAAGCAACATTTCTTCATATTGGCCCTCCATTGGTGCTCCTCCTGTAACACCCCTAACACTCTCCTCAAGTGCTCCCAGTGATCCTCCTCTTCCCTACTATAAATCAAGATATCATCAAAAAACACCAACAAAAACTGCATGAGGGGCTGAGGTAGGGTCTGAAGAACTTATTCATGAGGGACTGAAAAGTGGTTGGGCGTTAATGAGGTCAAAAGGCATCTCTAGGAACTCATAATGTCCTTCATGAGTTCTAAAAGCAATCTTTGGCACATCCTCTCTTTTCATCCTGATCTGGTGGTATCTTGACTTCAGATCTATCTTGGTGAAGATAATTGCTCCACTCAACTCATCTAGCAGTTCATCTATTACTGGGATAGGAAACTTATCAGGCATTGTTTCCTTATTTAGCACCCTATAGTCTACAGAAAACCTCCAACTCCCATCTTTCTTTCTAACAAGTAATATTATGATAGAAAAAGGGCTAACATTGGGCCTGATAATCCTTGCTTCTAGAGTCTATTTAATAAATTTTTTAATCTCATCCTTTTAAAATTGAGGATAGCGGTAGGGCCTTACGCTGATGGGGGACACCTTCCTTCAATGTAATAGCATGCTCCTGCTCTCTTGATGGTCGCAATCCTTGAGGTGAATGAAAAACCTCACTGAATTGTTGAAACAATGGTTGTACATAAAGAGAAACATCCCCTCCCTCCTCTAGTCTACTCATCTCCAACCTGTGTAGCTCCACCAGATAACCTTCCCCCCACCTCCTGCCTCATCATGGTTTTAAGTGAAACTATAGCTTTGGAGAGCCCTACATCCCCCCTGATCACTATTCTTCTCCCCTCCACCGTCAGCTCCATCGTCAATTCCCCCTAGTTGACCTTGGTGTCTCCCAAGGTCTGCAGCCACTTCATCCTCATAATGATATCAGTACTCCCTGGCTCCAATGGGAGGAAACCTCCTTCATCCGAATCCCCTGTATAGTCAACACTATTCCTCTACAAATCCCCTGGCCCATCTCTACCTTTCCTGTACCCATCATCACTCCATAACATCATGTATCCACCAATTTCACCCCCAATTGGTTCACAACCAAATTGGACATGAAATTGTGGGTAACCCCACTATCAATCAACACCACCACCTTTATATTTGTTATTTCTCCTTTCACTTTCATAGCATGATTTAGGATGAATCCTACCACTGGTTCAAGGATACCTGCACCACATCCAGGTGCAGCTTGTCCTCCATCTCTCCCTCTACCTCACCCTGACCTCCCTCAGTTTCCTCGTCATAATAGGCGGTGAGAACCTGAAGAATTCGGTCCCTACACCTATGCCCTATAATATATTTCTCATCACACATGAAGCATAATCACTTCTCCCTCTTCTCTTGCATCTCCCTCTCCATCAATATTTTGAAATTTCCCCCACTCCCTCCTCCTGGCTGCTCCCTGATGACCTCACCAAAACCATCTGCTGCAGGATCCTTGGGAGTTAGAAGAGTGGTAGTCATCCTGTAAGAGCCACCTGAACTGCTACTCCTAGCTCCCCTTTCTAGATACTTCTAATCTTTCACCAATTGTGCCAACTCAATTGCCTCTCCCAAGTCACGGGGCCTCATGACCCTCACCGTAGCTCTGATCTCGAATTTGAGTCCCTTCATGAAGTTTCCCTCCAACACAGTCTATGATAGTCGCTCCACCCGACTGGCTAAGTGTTCAAATCTCTCGTGGTAGTCTTCTATTGATCCGTCCTGTACTTGTGCAAAGAACTGCTCATAGAAGTCCCCTTAACTACCGATTGGAAAACTTCCAATAAGAATTCTTTGAATTCCCTCCAACTCCGTATGGGTCTCCTCTGATCCCTCCACTGATATTAGGACAATGTCTCACCCTCTAAACATAACCCTGCTTTTCCTCCTCCGTCAGCCCATTGACGGTGAAATACATCTCCACTTTGTAGATCCATCAGTGTGTGTCCTCCCCTTCAAAGATGGGCATCTTTAGCTTCCTCACCTTTAGATCTCTCCCGTTTCCCCGTATTCCCCCATAGTTTCCCCTTTCCCAAGTGCTTGGTTCTCCCCAAATATCCCGATCTTCTCTTCCCTGCTCGTACCCAAACCCTTCTTCACTTTCTCCTCTCCTCCCTTCAAAATCAACACCCTCCAACTGTAATCTCCCTTTTTTCCTTCCCAACCACCACCTCTTGATTCATGCACACCATAACCACATCTCTCTCCATACATTCCACCTCGCTCCTCCATAATTTCTACCTCATTGTCCCTCCTTCGGAATTCAGAATTTGCTATTTCTCCCCATTGGTCCTTTTGCCTTTGATGCCGCCGTTTGAATTTGATTTTTCAATATCTTCTTCACCATCTCATGAAGATCAAAAACCTTACCTTCCACGGATGAAACATTGTCTTCTATGGATAAAATTCTATCTTCCACTGTTACTTTTATTTGACTCATATCTCATTCAAGGCATTCCTCCAATGCATCTGCCTTCTTCGCCGCCATCAACACCAAGAAATTTTGTAGGTCCAAAAAATCTGGATATTGATCAAAAACAGCAAAAAATCATTCGCTCTGGCCAAAAAACAAAGCTGATTTTCCAAAAAATAGCCCACAAACAGTTTCAAAATCAGCTCTGATACCAATTTGTTTGGGAGTACTTGAAAATTTCAAGTTCCCTAACAAGAGAGACAGAAACGGCAAAACGCTCCACAAATTCGATGGGAAAAATCAATAAAATAGTATTTTTTTATTGAAGAAATTAAACTAACAGAAGAAATAAAGCAAGATATAATTGATCCTCAATTTGAAGGAGGATCATTCTCTTCCAATCCCTAGATGAATCTAGGGCCCAAGACACCATGAACAAGAACTCCAAAATCAGCCACAAAACAAAGCATAACCCTAACCCTAAACATCTAATATTTAATACATAAATTCATATACTTCATTCAAACATTCCCTCCAACCCCAGCCCCCCCTCCTTCCTTATTAATTGCCTAGTGGGATCCACTAGGAGCTTGGGCGACAATTCCTAGGGGGCTGACTGGATTGGTCCGCCTCCTGTAAGTAAGAACCGGCACAATGCTTTGGGCCGGCTGGGCGGGTTCAATAGAAACCGGGCTAACAAGATGCTTTTAAGCTACAAGACATTGCCCACGAAGAAAGACTACTCCGTCCAATTGACTCCTAAGCTATTTCTGCATAGAATTTTGCATCAAGCGTACATTCAAATGAATTGTTCTGGGGCAGAATACCTCAACTAGTTGATGATATGAACATGCCATGATCTTTGAATTTCTTATCATTGGATCTTCTTACGGCACCACTGATGCATAAATGTTGCACTGCTAAAACTTGATTAATCAAGCTATTATCATTCCACCAGTATACACATCCAAAATATTTTTCTTTTTCAGAAAACATCTACCAATGAGACATCCAAAACATTAAAAAAAAAATTCAATTAGCAAATACAAAGCAGCATATTCAACAAAATTTAAATTAAACATATATAAAGACGACCACTTTCTCCAGGTTATATTTTTAAAGTACTACAGTCTGAATGCAGTTTGAACGCATACCCTTAATTTTTTTAATTAATTTACAATATGAACATAAGGTAAATCAAAATTTAAAAAGCAAGGAATAGATACCAAATTGGGGGAGTGTAGCAACCTTAGCTCCTTCATCACCAATTGCATTTCCAGATAGATTGAGTGTTTTCAATACAGTATTTGCTTGAAGAACACCATCAAATGCTTTCAATCCAGCAGCTGTTATCCCATTTCCAGAAAAATCCACATCCTCTGCACTCTGAGGAAAGGAAGCAGATATTTGTCATTGCTCATATAGGCAAGACATGCAAGCACAGGATAATTTCTTTAAATTAAACTATGGCACTATTAATGTTCCAGACACCAAACAAACTAAAATTTGAGATGAGAGCCATGAAACTGAAGATCACCTGATTGAAAGCTAAGCTTTCAGCAAGAAAGAATAGCCCATCATCCCCAAAGTTATGGCCTATGAAAAAACACTAGTCAACAAAAGCTAAAATTTCACCATATTGTATGAAAAGATCTTGAGAGTGGAAAAGGTGTCTATAAGAAAGAAACTAAAGCAATTAAAATAATTATAGGTTCCAAATTGTAAACAATTTAGGCTGCAGAACCCAATATGATGATTTAGAAACTTTAAAAATTTTGTGAAGTGATTCATTTGCGTTCCTTTGACTGCATATGGACTTGGACCCCAAAGATACTTTTCAGATATTGGCAATTAGTGGCATTATGGAATCATACTTGAGGATGAAATTGTTGATGTTAAGTGTGTTTTACCATAAGATTAAAATTAGTATATACACTCGTACTGATATAATGGAGGTTGGCCCCCATACATAGTTTTAAGCTTATTGGATATGAAAGGTAATAGGTATTCATGACACCAATAGTTTGAACTAAATGTTGGCTATTGGCACAACTCATCTCTCGATAACATGGATAGGCTAAAACTGTTGGAAACAAATATAAGTTGAATCATCTCGAAGAGCTGTTGATTGATAAGTTTTGCAGTTTTAACAAAAAAAAAAGTTCAAAATATCAAAAACAAGTTTTGGAATCAAAGAACAATAATAATAAACAGTTCACCTACCAGATAAGTCAACACTTCTAAATGTCTTGAGTTCTTTGATAAATTCATTGAGCTTTTTATTTGAGTCCCTTGCATTCTTGAAAATGTTTCCCATTGGCAGATTTGTCCCAGGGGAAAAGGACCACTTCACTCCTGTTGTTGTAGATTTATTCTCGGTCGATGGCTGACCCTTTGGCTTTGTTATAAGAACTTTCTCGACCACCTTCCATAAAACTGCCAGCTAAAGTAACAAATTAGTACACCAATCTAACTTCAAAGCATAACTACTAGTTTAACCTTTCATCAAAAGCGATATTTTCATAGCATTATCATAAAAAAGCTAACACTTAAGACTATTTCATAGCTTCAAAATGCAAATTTTATCATAACATAGATGCATAATATTGCCCTACTTACTCGTAACTAATTCTCAAACGAAATTGAAAGGATGCTAAAGCAAGATGGAGTTATAGTGATGCAAATCTCAAACTTTATATATAACAGAAATGCAGGATGTGATCGTTGAGCCAAGCAAATTGACATTTTGAATTTTCATGCTACTTTTGTTGTTTTTTATTTCATGATTTTTTAATGTTATATTAATTGGTTTGGTATAAATATGCCTATGATGATGATCCCTATAGATAATAAGCTATGTTCTCCAGTGCATTGTTACTTTAGTCTTTAGTTCTCAGATTTGGATGTTTTCCTAGTCTGGTTCAATATCAGTTTGTCGATTGACTCTCAGCTTGGTCGTTTGGGCTCTTAGAATAATTGATTGTCTACTATTATTGAAAGGGTATCTCAGAATTATTGATTCATTGTTCCCATTTTTCATGACTTGTGGGTTATGGATTGTTGTTTTAGCCATCATAGATATTTGCTAAAGCTGGGATCACTGATTTGCTAATTTGTGATTATAGCACCACAGTTGATGCTTTCCTCTCAAATCTATGTGCTTGCTGGATATGCATTCATCATATACAGTGGAAGTGTTGATTGACTGCTTCTGAGGGAAGTCATCTCCATGTACCAGCCTCAGACTTAGATTTCTTATTTGAATAAATCTTTCTTTGTAAGCTTCTATATATATTTTTGTAATCAGTTTGCAAGAGCGGCTGCTTTTGGTCAAAACTAATACCAGGATTTTTTTTATTACAGTATGAGTTTTTTATTGACATTACAAATTAATTATTTTCTTAACACTGCCGTTGTCTGAGGGAAGTCATCTCCATGTACCAGCCTCAGACTTAGATTTCTTATTTGAATAAATCTTTCTTTGTAAGCTTCTATATATATTTTTGTAATCAGTTTGCAAGAGCGGCTGCTTTTGGTCAAAACTAATACCAGGATTTTTTTTATTACAGTATGAGTTTTTTATTGACATTACAAATTAATTATTTTCTTAACACTGCCGTTGCCAGGTCCCAAGTCCTGGATGAGAAAAGTGGAGGGTTGCGTTAGGTAGTCGACAGCCAGCGTAAAACTTGTCGATTTGTACAAGCATACCATGTAGATATGGGATGAATATATATTTAAAAGACGAATTCAAGTCAACCTTAGCTAACAAAGGGCTTTTTGTACTATCGACTATACCATATAATTAATTACTTAATGGTAATAACCATTGGGGAACATATGAGCTTTTAGCCATGACCATAATATAATGGAGTTATTCGACTAAGTCACGAGATCAGAGGGTCATGGTCATAATAATTTACCATGTAGAGCCGTCTGGCCAAATCACAGGTTCTTTGTGGAATTGTCTAGCCAAACCACCAATTAGAGAACCATTCATAACCATATCACGTGGAGCCTTCAAGCCAAACTATAGATCCTGTGGAGCCGTCGTCTTGCCAAGCCACTGGTTAGAGGACAAATGGAACGCCCTTACTAACGGAAAATTATTTGAGAATGAATCTTAGTGATATTCTAAATTTGGAGATTTGCTCTTTGGGAGCTAGAGTTATCATTGAGTTCATCGCCTTCACCAAACGTTTGCGGATGGTGAATGAATTTTGTTTTAAGTTATAAGTAATTAATTTTAATTTTAAATATTAATTATTATATGGATATTGAACCTAAGAGTTTTGATTGAATTTGAAAAATAACCCCTCTTGTTGATATTAGCTCTCAACACGGCCATCATCGAGATGGCGTGAAAATTATTTAAAATATATATATTTCATTGAGGTTTAGAAGCAATTTGAAAGGATAAAATCCCTTCAAATTGATATTAACTTTTAACATGGCTATCATCAGAAATATAGGTAATTTTATTTTATATATTGAATCTTGTCAATTTTGTTTGGCTGCCAACAAAGGATTGAGCTCAATTGATGATTTAACAAATTTGTTATGCGAGCGCAAATAAATGAGAGTTTAGTTTTTACGATGAGTTTCATTCAAAGAGCCTCTGAAGGCCTAATGTAACCATTAAAATTAAATATATTGTTACATTTGTCATTAGGCATTCGCTTGTTAATTCAAGTCATGTTGACTCCAGTCTTTATAAGGAGAAGGATTGGACTTGGAATTTAACATGTACAATATTCTCAGATCTTTGAATTAGGAGGTACATGCGATGGTCAGAGCACATGCGAGTAATTAATTTGAAAATTAAATTTTAATTAATGAGCTTTTAGCACATTTGTCGAAGTACATGCAGGGAATTGAAATTTCTTTTTAAATTAACATGCACGTTTTTCGATGTGTTCACGTGATGCACTTGCACTAATTTTTATGTATTTACATAACATATTCGCATGCATTTAATGTAGTGCACATCGTTGGGTTGTAAGCTTCTCGAGGTAGTGACTCGCTTCTTGAGGTGGTAACACTTTTCTCAGGATTTTTGCTTGCTTCCAAAGGTTATTGCACACTCCTAGATGTGTTGACATGCTTCTCGATGCATCGCATTTAAGTTTAAGGAATTATATTTTAATGCATGAGGTAGGATTTTAAAAAATATAAAATTTAAATATTCGCTCAAGAGTTCATTATTTGAATGTGCGCTACATTTAACTTTAAAGTTTAAGAAAAACGTTTTTTGTCCGCTTGTACGATAGTTGTGGAGGCGAATTGGATTTCAATTTTTGTGTATAGGAGAGATGTTTAGTTAGTTTTGTCTTATTCAAGTTATCATATAATTCAACATAGTTCCTAGGGGATGTTTGTTCAATAGACATTAGGTAAGCTACATTTTTAGTAAGGCTCACGGAAAATACTTGCATCGGATCTCATGCCACATAGGATTAAATATGAATACTCAAAGAAGACCAATTAAATTGGACTAGCCCGAATCAAAATAACCTGACACAATCTGATTTTGTTTCGATTGAAATTGGATCGGACTGACCAATTAGCAGAAAGTTCAGAAAGGAAACTGTTCAACGAAATAATTTCTAAGAGATTGAAAAATGGTTCTTAGCTGTTTTAAATTAAGATGGATCAAAGGCTGGGCATGTAAAATGCTAATCTCAAAGAACATGTAATGAAACGTGCACATAACAAAAATTATTACAGGAATGTATACTTAGGATTCATGTAATTGTAAACAAATGTTTAAATGTGAAAAGTTAATTTGGAATACGATGGTTGTTTCCTTGTTCAAAAAGCTTTAAGCATACCACCAGAATTTGAACTTCAGTAAACTTTTATAAACTAATACATTTTTTTATTCTTAAGAGGTAGGATACGAAATGAGCATATACGTGAAAATGTTGGAGTAGCTCCAGTAGAAGATAAGATTAGAGAAAGTCGCCTTAGATGGTTTGGTCACATAAAACGGCGGCCTTGCGATGACCCGGTTAGAAGAGTAGAGGTATTAGATTTGACTTATGTTAAGAAAGGTAGGGGTAGACCTAAAAAGACTTGGTTAGAAAATATTAGGAATGACCATTCTTTATTAGATTTAAACGAGAATTTGACTTTTAATAGGACACAATGGAGAAAAAGGATTCATGTAGCCGACCCCACGTAGTGGGATAAAGACTTGATGTTGTTGTTGTTGTTGTTGTACAAATTAATTATTTTCTTATAAAAAAATTCGATCGTTTAGATTGTAGAGATGTAAAGCTCTTCTGAGTGAAAGTTTAAGTAGCAAACATCACTTATTAGTTTTCGATTTTAAGATGAAGTTGTAGAATATGAAAATAAAATAAAATGTTATCTTAAGATTAGATGGGAGCACTTAAACAATGATAATAAAAATATTTTTGAGAGTAAGATTCAAGATCTAAAGATTTGGGCTGTTCATGAGGATGCTTATATTATGTGGGAAAATGCAACTAGTGATATTAAGAATGTTACAAAATATGTGCCAGGAGAATCAAAAGGAAAAATTCTAAATGATAAAAATAGCTGGTGATGGAATCAAAATGTACAAGAAAAAATAAAAAATAAGAAATTTTGTTTTAAAAATTGGTTTAGAAGTAAAGTACAAAAAATTGGGAAAGATAAAAAATACGGAGTCTGAGAAAGTAATATGCGATATAAGGAATATAATTTTAGCGATTTATATAATAAATTAGATATTAAGAAGGGAGGAAGATGTATGTATAAGTTAGTCAAGCAAGAGATAGGAGAAGTAAGGACCTAGTTCAAGTGAAATGAATTAAAGATGGACATCAAAAAGTGTTTTTCTTAGAAGATGATATTTAACATAAGTTGATGAATTATTTTGATAAACTTTTTAAAGAATATTACGATTGATTGACTTTAGTGACCTTAGCAACAACAATTAGAATATGATCTTAGAATATAGGTTCTCTTATAGAAAAATTAATGGAATTAATAGATATTATAATTCATAGGAAGGTAGATATTCTATGCATTCAAGAAACTAAATAAGTTGGAGAGAAGGACAAGAAGATTGAAAGTTAAAGATTTAAACTATGATATTAGAGTAGAATTCATACTAGAAACGGTGAATGTGTAATTATAAATAAAAATTTGAAGAATAATATCATAGAAATTAATAGAATTAAAGTTTTAATGATTAAAAGAGAAGCATAAAATTAAGTTAAGTGTTGCCAAGATGAGGATGCTCAAATGAATGAGTGGCTTCACTCTTAGAGATAGAATATGAAATGAGTATATTCGTGACAAGGTTGGAGTAGCTCCAATGGCAAATAATATTAGAGAGAGTTGCTTTTGATGCTCTAGATACATAAAATGTCGTCTTTTCGATGATCCAATTCGTAGAAGAAATGTATTGAATTTGGCCTATGTTAAAAAAGGTAGAGGTAGACCTAAAAAGACTAGGCTAGAAAATCTTAGAAATTATAATTTTTTATTAAATTTAAATGAAAATTTGACCCTTAACAAAGCATAATGGAGAAAAATGATTCACATAATCGACCTCACGTAGTAGGATTAAGGCTTGATGTTGTTGTTACAATATTGTATTAGTAAAGCCAAAATTGGAGAGGCTTTAAAGAAATTAAAGCTTGAAAAATAGTGGCACCTTATGATATTCCAAGAGAGGAGTGGAAGTGCTTAGAAGATCAAGGCATTTCTTAGCTTACTAAACTTTTAATATTATTTTGAAGAATAAAAAGATGTTAGATGAGTTAAAAAGGATAGTGTTCGTTCCTATTTTTAAGATTAAATGTGATGCATATGAGTGTATGAATTATATAGGAATTAAGTTAATGTGTCATACATTAAAATTATGGGAGAGAGAGTAATTAATCACATGTTATGACGTGATATTAATATTTCTCAAAACCAGATTGGATTCATGTCAGGTAGGTTTACTATAGAAGCTATACATTTGTTGAGAGCTTTGATGGAGAAGCATAGAAAGAGTAAGGCGAATCTACATATGATATTTATTGATTTGGAGAAAGAATATGATAAAGCTACAAGAGAAGTACATGGAGAGTTCTAGAAAACAAAGGAGTTATTAATGCTTATATTCAACTGCTGCTACATGTGTTCAAACACAATGTGGTTTGACCATGTATTTTCAAATTTCAGTTGGATTACATCAAGGACTAGCTTTAAGCTCAAAACTTTTTACTTTAGTAGTGGATTTTCTCACTAGACATTTGCAAGAGAATATATCCTTGGGTATGCCTTTTGTTGATGATGTTCTTCTTGTTGATAAGACTAGAGAGAGAGTAAAAAAAAAACTTGAATTATGGTGGATAACATTAGAGTATAAAGGTTTTCAATTGAGTAGATCTAAAACAAAATACATGAGATGTAATTTTAGTAGTAATAGTTTTAGTGATGGAATTATGATATTAGGTGATCAAGACGTTAAAAAGAGTGCACGTTTTAGGTATCTCGGGTTTATTGCTCAAAACGATGGTGAAATAGATAGGGTGATATTATCAGTAGAAATCAAGATGGATGGTTGAAGTCGATGAATGCATTAGGCTTGTCCGTGATAAAAAAGTACCCCTCAATATTAATGAAAATTTTTATAAGAATTTGGTGAGACCTACAATACTTAATGACTCATAATGTTAGCTAGGGGTGTAAGTGAGCCGAGCCGGCTCGAGCTCGACTAGTTAATGAGCTCGCGAGCCGAGCTTATCGAGCCACGAGCTCGAGCTCGAGCTCAAACTCGAGCTTATTTATTAAACGAGCTCGAGTTCGAGCTCAAACTCGGCTCTGCTCGTGAGCTCACGAGCCGGTTCAAACTATCATTAATATTATTAAATAATATTTATTTTATTTAAATTTAAATAGTTAAAAAAAACTTAACAATAAATACGGATGGTTGGTTATATTTGCATGCTTTGTCAAATCCCATGCAAGCCAGCCACTGGTCCTTGTCAAATCAAATTTAAAAAAAAAATATATCAAAAAATATGGATGGCTAATTAAAGCAGTAAACATTTACATGAATAGTGTTGCAACTTTTTTGAATATTAAAAAATAATTAAAAAACTTGATTTGGGTGTTATTTGAGCGGTAAAAGGAGTTGGGGAGGGAGCCTTTTGGAAAATACTGTAGCTTTATTTTGAATATTGATGCAGCTTTTAGAAAAACTGAATTTTGTGATAAATGTTGCAGCTTTTTTTGGAAAACGAATAAAGCTTACCAAAGCTCGTGAGCTGGCTCGAGCTCGTTTATAGTAGGACAAGCTTGACTTCAAGCTCGCATTTGGAGCTCAACTTGAGCTCGAGCTCAAGTTCGAGCTCACTTTCTGACTAACGAGCTAAGCTCGATAGTGCCAAAACTTGACTCGACTCGACTCGTTTACACCCCTAATGTTAGTAATTAAAAGAGAAGAATAAAATTAATTTTAAGTGCTATAGAGATGAGGATGATCAAGTGGATGAGTGGTTTTACACATAGAGATAGAATGTGAAAGGTGCATATAGATGAAAATGTTGGAGTAGCTCCAGTGGCAGATAATATTAGAGAGAGTTGTCTTGGATGGTTTGGTCACATAAAACGTCGATCTTCCGATGACCCAGTTAAGAAAGTGGATGTATTAGATCCGACCTATGTTAATAAAGGTAGAGGTAGACAAAAAAAGACTTGATATAAAGTATTAGAAAAATTTTTTTTTTTTTTGTAATAGATTTAAATTAGGATTTGACTCTTGATAGAACAAAATGAAGAAAAACAATTCATGTAGTTGAATCCACGAAGTGGGATAAATGCTTGATGTTGGTATTGTTTTGTAAGTTTTTTATTACTCCTAAATTCAATGTGAAGCTTCTACTTGTGTGATCACTATCATATTGTTTGGCATAGATTTTACATACATTTTAGCTTTAATTAAAAGATTATTTTTTGTTGAAATTAAAAGTTTTTAGACAGCAAATTTGACTTTACGTGCATGATTTTGTGTAAATCCTAAAAACTAAGATATATTTCATCAAATTTGATATTAAAGCCTACAATTTTGCTAAATGCCGACTAGAATTTGGGCTAAAAATAAGTGTCAATTAATAGATCATCAAAAATATGACATTTTAATAACTTTGCAAATCCAAATGGTTGAATCAGTCAACTAATAACGATTCAACAACAACAACAACAAGCCTTTATCCCACTACGTGGGATCGGCTAACTTTTGCACATGATTTTGGGCTTCATGTCATATATTTTTATAAGAAACCTAAACCCAAAGATGTCTTCAAGTGAATTGTCGTCCTTTTTTAAGTAATTAAAGTTTATGCTTCATTTAGAATCATAACTTTGGGCATGTTGTGATAGAAAAGTATCCCTCAAACTTAAGGGAAAATTCTATAAGATAGTTATGAGACCTACAATGCTTTATGGTACACAATGTTGTCCTTTAAAAGAGAAGCATAAAATTAAGTTAAGTGTTGCAGAGATGAGGATGCTTGGTGAATGTGTGGCTTCACTCTTAGAGTCAGAATGCAAATCGAGCATATACGTGAAAATATTGTAGTAGCTCAACTGGTAGATAAGATTAGAGAGAGTCACCTTAAATGGTTTGTTCAAATAAAACGTCGACCTTCTTATGACTCGATTAGGGCAGTAGATGCATTAGATTAGGCCTATGTTAAGAGAGATAGAGGTAGACCTAAAAAGACTTGGTTAGAAAATATTAGAAATGACATTTTTTTAGATTTAAATGAGAATATGACTCTTAATAAGATACAATGAAGAAAAATGATTTATGTAGTTGACCACACGTGGTGCGATAAAAGCTTGATGTTATTTTTGTATTTAGAATCATAACTTTATAATTACATACTAATGTACCAACATCATCATCAACAACTTCATGCTACTTCTCCACATTATCCCCTTACACCCAGTTTAAAAAAAAAAAAAAGAGAGATTATTTCCTAACATTCTCTACATGCAGATCTTTGAACACATGAGACTCATTTTATGTTTAGACTATTAGAAATATTGCATGTAAATAAAAAAATGAACAAATTTAGTAATTTCAATCTAAATGTTACAATGAAGTTATAGAAAAGCATAATAAAAAATTAACTTTTCGCACAAGAACTAAAAGAAAGCCGAAACTTGTATCCTACATAGTTTCCTTAAATAGATTAGCTCTCTATATCGGTGCTTAAGGATATCACAAGCATCTATCCCACAAGACACAACGAAGATCAAGTAGGACTAGCACACCACAATGACTCGTTATCAGTGAACTCAAATTAATGTCTTTACTCTTATAAATAAACATCTAAAACTGTAGAAAGGCCCTGAACCTAAGAAGCAAGAAATGAAAAAGAAAGCTTCTAAGTTTACATGTTTAAAAAAGCTTGCAGCATGTCTCATTATATAGGTTGCTACAATGGATGTTACAAAGCTTAGAATAATAAAGGATTGAATCTCATAGGCTAAAACCTTTCAAATTACATATGAATTAATCCCATAGGTTACACCTTTTAAACTTTCTAGGAATTAGTCCATAGGTTATAAATTTGAACATCAATTTTTCATCCATCCATAAGTTATTACAAATCATTTTTCAAATAGAGATCCGTTAGAAACATACATCAGAATGAGGACTGATAGAGGACGAAGAGTAGGAGATATGAGATGGGTAATAGGATATTACAGTTGATTAAGATTTGGAGAAATGATGAATAAAAATAGAGTTGAGAGATAAGAGCAGCCGATTTAATCAAAGATGAACCAAGCAGGCCAAAAATTAAAAATATATATATATGATTTTTCCTTTTAAAATAATTCAAGTATGATGGAAGCTTCACCATTTCAAGTCAAATAGAATCGCCAACCAATATTTCAGTCACAATGCCCATCTAATTTACTCCAAAATATACCCTCTAAAAATACAAAAGAACCAGCATTGATGGCAGCTACACCAATTTTCACGCCAAATAAAAACTGATTCCCATTTCGGAACATTAATAAGAGAGAACAAAAGTGAAACGGAAGTCTTTCAAAGCTAATAGTTCAAACCGAAGGTAATGGCAAGAAAAGTTCCCGCGGGGACGACGAACGAAGCGATCTCCTTCACCGGAATATGAGGGAGACCCTGCTGCACCTGAGACTGGCGATATGCTCTCTTCCCTGCACTTCCGCGACCTCCGTAAGCTGCCACGGGGACGACAGATAGGAATCGACGCCGCCAGATCACAACAGGCTGTACTGTTGAAGGAAACGGGAAAGAGAGGGATCTCAGGCGGCGGCGGCTTCGACTGAAAGAACGCCAACTGGCAGCGGCACCCGCACCGGCAAGAGTTCCACCTTGAAAGGAAGAGTAGAAAGAGAAGGAAACTAGGGCGGAGGATTCCATGGAGAATCTAAAAACCTTATCTGGAGGGTTTTGTATGACCTTTCTGGGGGGCTTTAACCAGAGCAAATTGCAGTTAAAACGTTGAAAATGGAATCAGAATTAAGATTGGGGAAATCTGTCCCAAGCAGCAAGTTTGCCGAGTTCCATGAAGCCTTATTTCGTGCTATTTTTTCTTGCCACTCGAGTTCTGATCAGGGGGAGTCAGAATTTTTTTTCATATGATCACAAATTATTGAATTTAAAAACTCTCAATCTCATCGGAGCTGGGCCAGCATAGGACCAGCATAAATGATTTTAATTATTTTTTTTTTAATAATCATACTCAACATAAAATGGTATAATATATGATAAAATAAAAAATTTATAATTCAAAACTTTAAATCATGATATTCTTCTTAAATATTATATATAATTTTTCATGTCGAGTCTTCATTTAAGTTAAATGAAAATATAATTATCAAATTTATAATAATGAAAGACATAATAAAGTGTTAAAAATAACATAAAGTCTTAACTTGTATTGAATAAAATCTTAACTTCGCTACTGATTTTAACTTGTCTCAAAACTTTCAAATCTTATTAGAAATTTATATGACTCTAATTTATTAAAGTAAAGACACCGTGATAATCTGATGAAATAATTTACAAATATTAAAAAAATTAGAAATTATTTAATCTTAATTTTTAAATAATAAAAAGGTTATGTTAACAAGCACCTTTTGTTACAAAATAAATAAAAAATAATTATTTAATTTCTTTAAATATTAGTAAACCTTTAAAAAAAATCTTAAGTTTAATTTTTTATCTTAGATATATCAAGATTAGATGCGATACGAAACTATCTAAACCTTTTTGAACTAACGATTCACTATATTGTATCAAACAAAAAATATGTCTTTGAATGCTATTGCACATCCATTCCAACTCGTCCCCAACAACTCTTTAATTTCATTTAATATTAGTAAACCTATGTAATAATTTTTATAGATAAAAATTAAACATGTAATTTAAAAATTGAAGATGTGCAAATAATCTATAGCCATTCTTTTTTTTCTTTTTTTTTTGGAAATAGGTACATGACAGAGAAAACGGAATGATTTTTTTTTTTTTTTTTTTTTTTTTTGAGAAAATAACATAATCTTCTTCTTTGGGGAGGGGGGGGAGAGAGAGAGAGAGAGATTTGATTGAAAAAATTAAAAGAGTGAGATTTGAGGAGAAGCACAGTAGCTTTTCCTATTTAATGAAGGATTATCATAAGCCTTTTTTTAAAATAGTAACTAGTCATAATTAGACATTAATTAATTGGCCATTAAGGGCTCGTGCCCCCAGGGCCCCCATGTTAAATCTGCCCATAGTTTTGATGTCATATTTATATATAATTGAGTTGATCATCCAACATTATAGCACATTGATGTTTGGTATAGCTCTATTCTAGATCCCCTTTGTGGACTTAAATTTCTCTTAAGAAATTTTGGATTCTTGATAATAGATTGAGGAATCTCATCATTTTTATACTGAATATTTATTTTCGTGATAATGTCATATTTTTTATATAGTTTAATAATGTCAACAAAGCTCTTAAATATGTCCCCTAGAATATTACTTGTTTTCAATCTTATCATTTCTCTTCAAGATAAATACTAAATTTATTTGTTGCTATAAGGCAATATTGTGGACCTAATACTAAATAGTTGTTCAAATATGAGGAAAACCTAAAATTTATATATCAAAAGAATGAAATAGAAAGAAAATCACATTGAATAGATTATGTCCTCAATTAGGCCCTCGTATTTCACATGATGGTATCTCATATAAAATCATATTTTATTCTTTGAACCTTATGATTACAACCATGTGTTTGAAGATTTTAAATATTATATAGGGTCAACTCTATCACCTATTATGTGAGATATATTACAATGATGACCCTACAAAAGTATTTCAACTCAAGTTTCAATATCTTTTCACTCTTTCATGTCATCGAGCTCCTTCTGGTGGTGATGGTTGAAGTCCCCTTCCTTTAAGCAAGAGAAGAGGAGAGGGTTGTAGAAAACATAGGCTATAAGAGATAGTAAAGCTCTTATATAAGGAATGATAAAAATAATGGATATTAAAAGAACTCTAAGGCTCTAATCATTAAGCAAGCATATCAGAGTGGCTCTTATACCTTCTTACGCCATGAAAGTGACCAAGATGATAGAAGACATGATTCACTTACTAGAGTTTTCTCGTTTTATATAGGAGGATCATTTAGATTCCAAAATATTATGTACACGCTTTTATCAAATTTGGATCATGCAAGCAAACTGCCAACTGGAAAGTGTCAAGGCAATCACTCCAAATAGAGTTTACTCCATCAAATTTTAGTGGTGCCCCATATAAGGGGGATAGTGATCAATTGATGTTGAGCAAATGTTGAGGAGTGAAATTAATTAGTTGTGGGATCCAAAGTGAAAGCTACCATTTTAAACCATGTGGCAGTAAAATGTGATTTTATTTAAGGAAGGGAAACAGGAGTGTTGATGGATCAAAGGGTGCCAAAAAAGATAGCTTGAGCAAGGATTCATGAAGTTGGTGTCGAGGTTAAAGTTATTTGGTTGAGGGGAACACCTTTATTATTCTTCCTCTTGTCAAACTTCATCTAGATAGTTGATTGATAAAAAATTTTGTTTGGGATTTAGGCTAACTTTCGTAGGCTTTGAATTGAAATAAAAGTTATTCTTACTATAGGGTTGATGCAGTGGGTTTTTACATGTGATGGACTTGTGTAGCTTATTGAAACTTATTCAACTTGAACTTAGTTAGATAAGACATGCACAATTGAAATATACTTAAGTTTTCTTTGATATATCAATAAATAAACCCACTCAAATACACGCAAGTATATATGCTGAATCAAATAATAAATTAATGAAGTAGAGCATCAAACTCATGAGAAAGTGTTGTGCTTTCTTGCAATAAATTAAAAATATTTATTCTAAATGCATAAGTTATCCTACTGAAACAACAATGATGATTTTAAGTTCCTATCACTGATAAAAATAAGTTGTATAATTGATATTAAAAGTTCGATAGGGATGTTAAGCCCTAATCCACTAGTCCCAAGGCTAACCAAGAGGGTGGTGAATTGGTATTTTAAAAAACCTTTTAATTAAAACACAAACTTAAACCAAAGTTTTAGCTTGACTCCTCGGGATGATCACTTGTATCTTATCATCCCGGATGATGTCTGATCATCCTGGATACTTTATCATATTTTTGACCAATCATCCCGGATACAATTATTGTACCCAATCGTCCTAAACAATCGGTCTGTTTCTTTTTATACTAAGGCTCTCAAACAAATTTTCTCACATAATCCTACTTAAACTAAAGTTTACCACATAAAATAAAGTGCGGAAATTAAATGTGTTGCAAATTTGATTTCATGGTTTATATTTTGATGATTGGCAAACACTCTTGCTTCTCTTCGACTGTCTGTTACTACTGACATTTTAGGAATCAAAGATTGGACGGAAATCGAAGCCAGCTCAAGATTATGTAGATTAGGGTTGAATCAGTCTGTAAATTTTTCTTTTCCCTTTCTTGAGTCAATTGTAATCTTTGAAGTGACTAATGCTAACTAATCGAACATACACACTTGAGAGATTTAGAATTTTTTTTTTAATCACATCGGCCAGGACGATATTTTTATCGTCCTGTATGATCGAGCTTAAAACAGAAACTCTAATCAGAATTTCTTAAATAAGGCAGATGTCATTAGCCGATCGGCCTGGACGATAGGCTCAAAATAGAAAGAAATAGCCTCCATAATCAATTTAGGTATTTTGTATTTTTAGAAATCGACCAGGACGATCTCTTGATCGGCTTGGACGATATGACACAATTATGCCTAAATTGATCCGTGAATCATGGAAGCATTTAAGGATGATTGATACGATCACATCATCCTAGACGATCTCAGGATCGGCCAGGACGATATATTAAAAAAACCAATAGTTGCTCCTGGACGATAAATATCGGTCAACACAAATTCAGGTCGATGTTCTGGCCAATCATGATCAGACAGCTCGAATTCAGGCCGATGCACTGGACAATTTTCATTTAATTTGAACTGATCGTCCAGGACGGTCGTGACGGTCGTGAGATCGGCTAGGATGATCAAGCCAATTTTCAATCTGTTGACCTCATTTTTGTCTTGATTAGCCTTCGAGCGCATTTGATTGAGTTGATCGGGTTTCATTGAACTCAATTTAATTTGAATCGGCATTGATTCAAGTTTGATTTCATATTTTATTCCATTTTTTATTATTGAATTAATTTTGGTCGAGTCGAGGTGAGCTCGAGTTGACCCGGATCGAACCAAACCTTACTCAATTTAAACCTGATTTCAGCCCCATGGGTTTAGCTAAATCCTAATCAAGAATTGATTAAATTTTGAAACCAATTGTAATCCCACGGTCCGATCAAGAATTTGATCGGACGGCTCCGATCTCCCCTCTTTTTTTTTTCTCTGGTGCCCTAACCGAGGCCAAAGGCTCTATTTAGCCGCTCTCTCGGTGTGTGCAGATTAGAGAAGAGGAGGCCAAATAAAATCCCTATTTTCCTCTCTTGGTCTCTGGTTCGTGCCCTAGACAGAACCCCGCCCTCGCTCTCTGTCTCTTCTCTGTTCGCACGGAGCCAGGCCGAAGCCCCCCGCTCTCACTCTCGATCTCTCCCTCTCTCACGCTCTCTCTCGCTCCCAGTCCCCTCCCGTTCGTGAATCAGAGAAGAGGCCGAAGCCCCCACTCCCTCTCCCTCATTTTCTCTCTCGATTCGTAAAAGACTCGAGACGGTCAGACCACCTATCTCCGTCTTCTCTGTTCGCGCGAATCCAAGTCGGGATCCCGACGCCCTCTGGACTAGCCCGTCTCTCTTGCCCCAACCGACGCCTCAACTTCTTCTTTAGGGCAGGTAACCTCTTCCTCTATTTCTTCTTCTTTCCTACTTTCTTCTTCTTCTATTTCTTCTTCTCCTCCCTCTTATCCTTCTCCTTTTCCTTGGCATCATCTTTCATTCCTCTCATGTGGATGATACTTTGTTCATGAGGGATTTTTATGAACTCCAAGCAGCTTTGTATGTGATACTTTCCAGTTGAATGTGTGCTTATATATTTGATGAGAATATATAATGATTTAGTGTGAATGCATAGTTGTGGAGAATAGGAATCTTC